CAAATTTTTATGCTTAAAATTATTATTTCTAAGTGATCTATTAATTTTTAGGCTCTGATACCAAATTAAAGAAATAGGAAAATCTGTATAAAAATTTGGTATCAAAGTTTATAAAAAAAAAATTTTTAAGTAAAAAAGTTATTTTTATAACAAATATAAATTTAAAGACTAAAAAATCAAAAAAATATAGTTAGAGGACTAACTGTTCTCTAACAAAATAGGAAGTTTTCTGTTATTTTTTACCAAGTAGATGAAATTGAAATGAATCTAAAAGTTAATAGACCACTTAGAAACAAAACATAGTTTCTAGACTAAAATGAAATCAAGATGATAGTTAATAGACTAAAAATTAAATTAAGCCAATAAAAAAGAGTTAAATTGCTCCAATTACTTAGTTTAGAGGGTTATTTACTTTAATCAAAGTTTAAGAACTTAATCAACAATTTGAGGTAAGTTTGGGGGGTTAATATAGGGTTTTGCCGAGGAGAAACGGGTAAGGAGTCCCTGTTCAACTTTGAAACGCCGTCGTATGACTTATTTTGGATGAACCTCTAAATAAGCCCTCAAAATCTTCTTTGTCGCAATTAAGCCCTGTTAGATTTTTTCTGCCAAATAACATAAGCCACTTAATTTCTCAACATGCATAAATAAATTCCAAAGTGAATGGAAAGGTTACATGTGACACCTTATCACTAGTATTTGGTTATCGTTTGTTTAAATGGATTTTTTTTACTTTAATAAGATAAATTCATAAATTTTTACCTCATTAAAAAAAAAATTCAAGTTAACTTACGAAATTAAAAATGATGTTCTAAGGTGGTGCTTGGTCGCATTGTACCAAACTTGACAAAATATTTGTCTATATTTGATTATTTAGGATTCCAAACTTCAAAAAATTTTAGAAAGTTAAATTTTACCTTAGTAGTTTTGCCAACCTAGAAAGGCATCCAAACAGACCCAAACAATTACCACTGAGGTAGCTTTCATGGTTCACTTTGGCTCCATTTATGTAAGTCAAAAAGTTGGGTCTTGGGAGATTAATTTGCCACAATAAGGGCTCAAACCTCAATTACCATAATGAAGAAGTTTGAGGACTTATTTGGAAGTTTACCTATATTGTGGGCATTAATTTCTATCCTCCACTACCCTCTACATTCTTGCATTTTCTCGCCGTAATATGTCTCAGTTTTTTCTTTTCCGGTGACGGCCTGTCCGTCCTTCCCGCCCTCTAAATAATGACGTGTCAATCTCACAATGGCCCTCAAGAAATCAAGAGATTTTCCACCGTTGGTTCGTCCTAACCACCGGTCACCGTGGGTAGTACTACGCATTCAACAAAATTACACAGCTCAGAGGAGAGAGAAAACCGGGCGTCAATCAGAAGTATACACAGAAAGATTGTTCCTTTTCCCCGCCAAATTCAACGCGGTGATGCAATCACCAACGTCAAATTTCACCCTTCCCCCAAGCTAACTAGAGCCTTAGCGCAGCAACTGTTGCCAGTGGGTCCCCACATTACCTAATCCCTGATTAAAAACTAAAAGCGGAAACTCAGTTCCTCAAAATTTTTGCCGTCTAAGATCAAAGGTACGCTTCAAAAACTCAGATCAATTAATTAAATCAGCATTTGTTGTAATCATTTTTTCTTTAATTTTGTCTCTTTAAGCATCTGAATTTACTGTTCTTTGTGTGTGTGTGTGATTTTGAATTCATAGCGTTTCCTGATCGTTGTTTATTGATAGAAATTAGACCCATCTTGAGTTAGTTTTGTTTTAATGCGAATTTGGATGATGTTTTTGCTAATTGGGCTTGTGGGGTTTTCTGGGTTTTCTGTTTGAATGTTTATGGATTGAGTACTGAGGAGTGAGGATGAGGATTTGTTTATGTGAAGGGTTTTGGTTCGGAGTTGAGGTTCTGAGTCCATGGGGAGGATAAAGCCTCAGGCATTGTTAGTTCAGAGCAAAAGGAAGAGGGGACCAACTAAGATAAGTGGCACCACCATTCTCTTGTGCAACATAATCGTTTTGTTGATTGTGTTGTCCTTGATTGCCACTTATAGGCATTGGTCGAAGAGGTTTGTTCTCAGAATCTTGTTTATTTTTGCTTGTTCTTATGCATCTAAATCAAGTCTCAAATGGATATGTTTAAGGTTGTTTCATTGATTAGAATCTAAGATTATTCTAATATGTTTATAGTTCTGGGGACCAAAAGGGTACTGCTGGGTCATCAACTTTTGAGGTACTTTTTCAGAATCCCTCATCATTGTTAGACACCACTTATCCATGCTGTGTTGTGTTAGTAAGCATTATTTAGCTTCAATTCCAAGTATATGCTTATTCTGCTAGACTAATTTGAAAGCTCCATCTTTTTTGGTCTAGGAAAGCAATCGGGTTGAAGATTCAAAGAAGTATGATCTTCCTGGATATGCTGTAAGTTCCTCCACAAACTAGTTGCATGTGCCTGCTTCAATTTGATGCAATTAAAATTGTATCAGAGTTGGATTTCGTATGATATTGTTAGTTTCAGGGTAGATGATGCTAATGAGTTCTTTTTCCAAGACAAGTTAACTTGAGACAGTGGACAATATTTGTTTCTTGTGTGGTGATGTAGAATAACAAATGATTTTGCTTAGCAAACAGTGAAATATTTCAATAATAGCATATGATAGCTTACCATTCTAAGCCATTAAAGTTGTGCTGAGTTTCAGCCGAATGTTAATGAATGGGATAGGTTTCCCTGAGTTCGATCTACTAATTTAGTTGGTAGTTGATTTCCTTTGCTGCTATTCTTTGTGATTGATTGGTTCATTTTCCCCTTCTAGGTTCTAAATACATCAAAAGGGTATATAACAGTAGAACTTTTCAAAGACAGTTCTCCTGAGACCGTGGACAAATTTATTGACTTGTGGTAAGTATTGCTAGCTAAATTATTGGTCATAATTAGTACCAAAGATCGTTATGAAACTCCTATTGTTAAGTAATCATGGAGAAGATAAGGTTGTTTCAATTGAATGCTTTAATGAATGATCAACTGTCTTTGTTTTCAAATTTCAATTCTATAGCTTTCAGTTTCTCATTTATTATAACAGTTCTAAATTTTCCCTCTTATTGAAAAGTAGGATTTTTGTATTCCTTCTTTTTCCTCTTTATAATTGGTGGTTTTTTTTTTATCTTATCCAATTTGCATTTGCTTTCTATTGCTGCAAAACTTACTGCTAATCAATTCAGGAAAAGACTAGATTTTCTTTAACTGAAGATATCTTAACTACTAGTCCAACATTGTTTTGAATATTCTTGTGAGTGCATGGCATTATATCATGAGTACTAAATCATATATAGAATTGTTGCATTGTACTAGTAGCATAATATTGTTTCCCTTTGCTGGAAAGTACAAGTGCATAATAATCAGAATACTTGTTTAATATGTGTCAATCTGTAATCTTGTTCCTAGACTATCTCCAGTTATCTCAGAGGACCCCATATGGCTTTTTCATGTCATATGATTAGATTTCCACACCAGGACTTGGATTAAAATATTGTAAGTTAATGAATGATGAGAATATCACTATTGATGGCTGTCCAGTGCTGACAAGGTTGAGAAAGGTGACTGTTGAAGGAAAGACTAGAGCAAATTACATTGGATAACCCCAGTTTGAGCTGCTGTTCTTGTTATACTTCCAAATCCAAATAACCTAAAACTAACTTCTTTGGCAGTCAAAAGGGGCACTTTAAAGGAATGCATTTCCACCATGTGATAAAAAACCGTGTGATTCAAGGAGGGCATTCCCAAGGGCTAGGAGCTGCTGAAGATTGGACATCAAAAGGGAAGCTTCACGGTCATTTCTCTACAAGGTTCTCTGAACTAACTTTTGCCTTAGTGCCTTGTGGTATTTGATTCTTCATCGTTGTACAGATAACTTAAAGTTTCCTTCTGTACAAGCAGTGAGAAACATGAAGCATTTATGCTTGGAACTCCAAAAACCAAAGATGATGGCAAAGGATTCGAGCTATTTATCACAACTACACCAATAGCAGATTTAAATGATAACCTATTTGTGTTTGGACGTGTCATCAAGGGTGAGGATGTAGTGCAGGTAAAAAACATGCTACATATCAGGCAATCTGTATCAGTGTCATGATAGACTTGCACATCAGCACATGTTGTAGATCATTTCTAACATTGAATCTTTTATCTTACACGTGTCATTCAGGAAATTGAAGAGGTCGATACAGATGAACACTATCGGCCTAAATCACCTGTAGGGATCATTGACGTGACACTGCAACATGAAATCTGAGTGATATTTCTGAACTATATTAAAATTAATATTTTGACTCTTGAAATGCTGTTAATATTTTTCTCACTAATAGTTCCATACACCTGTACTTTTCTAGAAAAATTTTGGTGTAACTTCCCCTACAGGTTTTTTTCTTAAAAAAATCTTTTCTAGCAAAGGAAGAATGGAAGGTGTATCGCCTGAGGTAGACAAATACAACTTTAAGTTGATTCATCCATGTTCCTAAGCTTATTCTGTGTATGTAATTTGGTCAAAATCTTGAAGTACTTAATTCTTCTAATTTCGTTTTTCTTTTCCTCATTTTGGTTGATGAAATGACTATTTTTTAGTCAAACTATAAAGATGTGGTAAATTAGATAGAGATGATAGCATCTATTTTCTGATTGCGTTATTTTTAAACTAGTTAAGTTGGTCGGTGGAGGGAATAGCAATTAGTTAACAACACCTTTAGCTAGGTTCTAGCCATTCATTCCTTTTTTGCAACTCAGAAAATTAATGTAGGTTTGAAAGTCATTGTTTTTATGGGAACTATCTCAATTGGATTGAACTTATTTGGTATTAGAGCTCAATTTGATGCTTGAGAAACTTGTACTCAAGTGTTTACCATTATGAATTTTTAGATGTTAATCTAAATTCAAACTTTAATTTATTACCAAGATGCTGCCATATTATTAATAATGATAAATTTTATTTCTTATTTTTGGTCCAAAATGATAATTTAGTTTGCTCTTTAACTTTAAAGCTCAAGTGTTCCTAATTTCATCTTTGGTATAATTTCTTTTTTTCCTTTTTTAACATCTTGAGACAAAAGATTGAATCTTAAACTTGTTAAATGCATAGATAACTAGTTCTACTACCCGACCATGTGACGTATGCTTTTAGTCCAAAATGTGTATTAAGCTCACCCTACATTGTTTTGTTTTATGAGAAGGCAATTTTTAGGGATTTGGGTAGGGGAGAAAGGGCCCAGAGGTTCTAATCCTGGTCAAGTGGCTGGATCACCTGCAGGGGACCCACCAACTTTGCGTGCCCGGGTTGAGTCCATTCTTAGGTGTTGCAAACAAGAAAAAGAAAAGTTAAAAACAATACGCTGGTACAAGGATCTTAGGTAGACATCTAGTCCGCCGATAATTGAAGAAAAATTGCCACTTTTTCCTCATTTTCATTCTAAGAATCCAGCACGTCTCCTAAAATAACTAAAACAAACAAAGAAGATAAGTAGGCAAAATAAAAGATCGGGAGCATAAAAACTGTAATTAGTCATGATAGTCAATTCACCAAAATCCTTAACATGCTCATGCGCAAATTTTCAACTGCTCAACTAGATTTCAGAGTTAAGATTGGGTTGATGTGAGTGTAGTTCTAACTCATCCAGCAGCTCAGCCAGTTCTTCTATTATGACTGGTGGAAGAATTTTGATCAGTAAGGATCTTTAAAACATTGACCAGTGCTCGCAATCGGTCCCATATGTTCAAGCCATAAAGTGCCTCTACAAGTGACTCTTGGAACTCGAAACCGTTCTGTGCAATGGGATACTGTTGGTGAAAAATGATGGGTTAGTACATCAAAGCATCATGATAACTTAGTAATTAAGAAGTTACAAAGCTGACCTGAATAGGCTTTGGGATTACGGTTTTGACAAATGGCCACCATCTGTCCTCAACAACTGACTTAACAAGACAGCAAGCTCGCAATCCCTCTACACCAGCAAATCGTCCAAACCCACTATCTTTTACGCCACCGAATGGGAGGGACTGGAAACAGAACACAAGACATTTTCGGTATGGTAGCGTAACAAACAAAACTTAATGAGAATAGACTTAAGGATGCATTTGGTTTGGTGGAAATGCACTTCCCTGGGAACTTTTTATTTTCTTGTGTTTGCTGTGCCTTTTAAATTGTCTCTCCTCAGGAAGTGAGCCTCCCTGGGAAACAATTCCTTGAAATATTTGGGAAGCTTTCCTCACCCAGACTTGAGGAAAGTCACTTTTCTTGAGGAAAGCAAGTAATGCCGAAAATACTATCCATTCATTCTAATCAAGCACTTAGGTAATTTAGAAAAGGCCTAGGACTTTCTGAGGGAAATAAACTTATCCAGCTCCACTCCAGTCAGGATATTCGTAACACATTTCACTTTTGCTCACAATGTAAACACACATCTCAGAAGACAAAATCATGTACTTAGCATTGCAAGGAAAAGAAAGTACCTGGCACATGTAAGTCGATGCAAAATCATTAATTGCAGCTACTCCACAGTGTATCTGAGAAGCTATTTCTTTAGCACGCCGCTGACTTCCAGAAAAAACAGCAACCCCAAGCCCAAATCTTGAATCATTTGCAAGTTTCACAGCTTCTTCATCAGTGCTGAATTTCATAATCGGCATTATTGGTCCAAAAGTCTGCATGTGTCTCAAGTTTCATGACAAATTAGCAAGAGTTCAAGAGACCCATGAAAATGATCAAAGATATGTCTTTGTATTTCATTTATTCCAATAAATTCAAAGATGAACAAAGCTATGGACTGGAAGTTTGTATTAAATTTTTTCTTTTTTGGCCAGAAGAAGTTTTATAATACGTTGAAATCATGTCTATTACATGCTAATTCAAAGTAGGGAAGTAAATGCAGGTTTAAAATGCTATGAACAAAAAAGGAATAAATTAGCTACCTCTTCTTGCATCAACTTCATGGTGTGGTTTACATTTACAATCACTGTAGGTGGGAAGAAATGATCAACTGCACCTTCACCTAAAGGACCAAAACTTCCACGGGCCACAATCTCAGCTCCTTTCTCTAAGGCATCATTTACAAGGTTCTGAAGCTTCTCAGAATGATCTTGCAAGCATATGGCACCCATGTCATACCTTCCAACAAGGGGTGGACCCTGCAAAATATCATATTTCTAAGATAATTCTGGACATTCTATAAAATATAAAAATGTCTGATGTAGTTCAGTTATATTGCAAGAACACACAGCCTGCACAGATGAACAAAATGAGGCCACTAAGACTAAGGCAAAAAGGTGTCAAATTTGTTATTTTCCGATGTTTTAAAGTCTCTAATTTATGTGAAGTGAAGAATTCACTCAAAAGCAGTAACATTCTAGAAGAAAGTAAACCAGTTCCAGGCCTCCAGGTAAGTTGTGAAGGCTACTTAATGTTTATCAGTGGTTGATAAAAAAAAAAAAAACTAGCAATTAGCAAGAAAGATTGTCTTATACTAGAAGATAACAGAAAGTATGTACTTACAGCCAAAACAGACTTTACGATTTTTGTCACTTGACCGACAAATGCAGAATAAATGTCCTTGTGAACATAAAACCTTTCAGCTCCAGCACAGTTTTGTCCACTGGATTGGAGAGCAGCTCTGACAGCAATTTGTGCAACCTATATCATGACAGTATTATCAATGGCACTAAAAAAACAGAATGACATTTTATAAACAGAAAAGATATGCAATCACATTAGAAATTGAAGCGGTAGGGGTTCATACATGAGCAACATCCACATCTTCACAAACAATAAATGGATCTTTCCCCCCAAGCTCAAGTGTAACTGGTGTCAAGGTCTCTGAAGCATTTCTCATTATCTGCAAAAACATAGCAAACATTATATATTAGGAACCGTTGCAATGCACACTCTGATGTACCAAAAGAAAACCACAGTAATGCACAAAAGTTCCATCCCCATGTCTTATAAGGAACTTCTTTGAGATAAGATTTCTTCTCATAGAAAATCCCCAAGAGATGGACAAATTAATGCATCAATTACTGAAAAAAATCAATTTTCCACAACAGTGAACGGAACAAAAAAGAGCACAATTCAGAATTTATGCTTTATAGACATCCTAAATACTTGAGATTTTCTTATTAAATAACATAATTGATATTGCAGGCTGTTGGGAATAAAATCAAAACTAAAGAACATGTAAGTAAAAACCTGCTCAGGAATTAGGTTTTTTTTCGGCAAAGAAGTTATTGTTCAGCAAGCCAAGACAATCTTATAGTCATACCATCTTGCCCACACCTGGTGATCCAACAAATATGACTTTATCAACAGAAGACACCAGTGCTTCCCCTGTCTCAGCAAAGCTGTGGGAAAGAAAAAAAAACTCTAATTAACAATACATACATAGAAAAAGAAGTGTGCAAGTTCAAAAAAATTAGGGCAAAATACATACCCTGTAATTACGTCTACCAGGTTCTCTGGAGCCCCTATCGCAGCAAGAGCTGATTGGATTATTCGGAAGTAGAAACATCCAGACCAGCTTGCATTTTCTGAAACCTATACTCAAAAGAATATAGTTTTCATCTCAGTTTACAAATTCAATTCAAAATATATACTCAAAGAGCTAATTTCTATTCCAGTAAACTCACATGATCTTTAGTCATCAGTCAGGAGATAAAATATGTATTATAAAATCTGAATTAGAGGCGTAAATAGTATAGTATGCAGCATATATGTAATCACTAGTAACAGGACTGAAGGGTGTTAGACAACAATGTCCAAGATATTGCAAAGTTGAAAGGCAATAAATAAAAATGATCATTAGAATCATGGAAAAAAATGCAGTTCCAAACTCATTAAGATAAAGGCCAAAAGGGGCAAACACAACACAGGAAACCTACATTTCAACATTAACTACCTTGATCACAATACTATTGCCAGAAAAGACAGCTGCAAGCATTGGGTTGAATATATTGTGGAAAGGGTAATTCCATGAAACAATTGCCCCAATGACACCTAGAGGGTGGAACTCCACTTTGGACCTCTTGTGAAGCATTGATCTCCCTGAAGATCTAAAAATCTTGAAAATGTGTTAGGTTATCAAAAAATTAATATTTCCTAATAACAAGAAAAATTTAAACCTTTTGAATTCTTTTTAGGACTTAGAATTAGAAATGGTGGCATTACTATTACATAACTGATAGGCCATCCTAACACAGATAATAATAATAAAAAAAGTACAGTTGATGAAGAAGCTAAGACATTAACTTGCATGGTTGGCCTTGGGCAAGTCAAATGCCAAAAGGATTGCAATGCAGCAACTCTGTTGTTAGAATTTAGAAAGCAAGATATGTGTAGGATTCCAGTTTATATCCTTTCCGGATACAGCAAAAGTAACCCTAGAAAGGTAAAATAATATTAAAAGCTGGTAAAAGGTACCTATACTCTGGCTTGAGCCACCGTTCACCCTCTGAAAGAAGCCAAGTTATCTTCTCACATGTTGTCATTATTTCTCCTAATGAGGCATCGACCATCGTCTTCCCAGTATCACGTGAAGAGACTCTAAGCAAAATGAAGTGCCAAATAGGGCATAAATCAATATTTTACTAAATCCTCAATGATCAGAAGGAAAATAAAACATACATCTAAGCAGAAACCAGAAGAATTAATAAAGGGGGGGGGGGTAAAGAAGGAAAGTATAGGGAAAGGAGCACTAAGATATTGAAACTCCACTATGTTTCAATGACGTCTGTGAAATAATGAATGTTGTTCAACTTCTCCAATCTCCACTATTGACCATTTACGAATGAGAAAATACAAGAGAAAAAGATAAAAGTAATTGCATGTTGAGAGAAGAAAAGGTTGGCAGGAATGTTTTCCATTTCATCCATGCAATAACAGAAGCCTTACTCGCATATAAGCTCTTGGTGTTCAATAATATATTTCAAAAGTATCCGCAAAAACTGGCGTCTTTGCTTGAAGCTACTTTGTGCCCAAACTTTCTGTGCTTTTCTTGCTTGTGCCACATGGTCCTTGACCTAAGCATACATATAGAAAGATGCCAGGATGAGCAGCAAGAAAACCATAAAGAGACACTCAACCACATGAATACACATATATGACTGTGCACAAGCACTAAAGATGCATAGTTATTGTCTAGGGAAAAAGTAAGCTGTCATAAAAATAAAATATAGTATTGAATTTCAGTAGAGATATTGAGAACAGTCTAACCTCTGCAGGTTTCAATGCTGGACAATATCCCAAATACTTCATAGTAGCAGGCTCATAGCATTGAACCCTACTGTCAGCCTGCTGTGTCCTTCCCTTTGAAGGTATCTGCACAGTCATTCAATAGTGAAGAAGGAACATTTAAGACATGGGATGCAATCCTTTTCTTTCCTTTCCTTTCTCTTTCTACCTCTATCCAAACAGAACAAGTGAATCCTTTTGTTTTACAAACCCTGCATTTCCTTTCCTTTCCTTTCCTTCCTCTTTCCACCTCTATCCAAACAGAATACGTGAATCCTTTCATTTTACAAACCCTCCATTCCTTTCCTTTCCCTTCCTTCCTCTTTCAACCTCTATCCAAACAGAATAAGTGAATGATTTCATTTTACAAACCCTCCATTTCCTTTCCTTTCCTTTCCTTTACTAAGGTCTATCCAAACACAGTGTCAGATTTTACCATTAAACTAGATGAAATCAATCCAAAAAAGAAAAGAAAAAAAGATCAAATAAATCAAATGACAATTCTTTATTTCATGTCCCTTTAAGGAAAAGTTTTTTTTGCTGCAAATAAAGAAGAATTAACCAAGTAGCTTTTAGTACCAATTTCAAAAGACATGTTAGAGTAACTCAACATTAAGTAATTTTAGCAATGAATTTTAAATCAAGACGCTATATTCTTACTAGGAAAAAAAAAAAGGTCAAATTGTTCCTCATAAAATCAAAAGCAAAAAGGCTTGAAGTTCCTAACATTGCCAGATCGCCAGAGACATCTATCATTCAGTATTTCGAAGGTGTTCTTCTTCTAAATCGTTTTGATAACAATAAATTATCTATTTCTATAATCACAAATTCCAACCAAACAATGTAAGCATTAAGCAATGAACAATCTCCAAGTAAGAGCAGCAGACAGTCATTAAAAAGAATCAAAAAATCAAGCAGAGGTCAGTCTTTTAAACTAAAAATCAAATAGAAAAATACAATCTGGATGAATTCTTCAATGGAAATTAACAAGAATTCAACATTTCCATCTAACTTCCTCCTCTATCGTTAAGATGAGATTCCACTCAAAGAACGACAAATCTCCAAGCTCGAACTGTGGCCAACTAAAGAAATAAAAAGGAACAAGCTAGAATAACAAATCTAAATCAAATAAAGAAAAACTCACATAGATGAAGCTGTTATCCTGCGCTTGGTTTCCGTCATCCAGCACTGCGCAAAAATTCAAACACGCGAGCATAAATCCACAGCTGAACATGCTACTTCGGAACACACAGAATCTACAGATTTACATAACCGCACAAATGCATACGAATACCTACCGTCGGAGGCGTCGACTTCGATGGAAGGAACATTTGGCGGAATAAGCATCAAAAGGAAACGGCAGATCGCGTAAGCGAATGCGAGAACGATCAACGGCCACAAGAACGCCATCGGTCCAATCCCCGGCGAGAGAATAGCTGAGTAGCTCTAGCAGTTGGATGGATGAAAGCACATGAATGACGATCTTCGAGCAGAGCCCGCAGTGAGAATGTGAGAGCTTCAAGAGTGGGTTTGTATTATTATTATTATTATTATTTTGTCAAAAGAAAGAAAGGAATACGCACGCATCGGAATGCCTTTGTCGTTTTTTCCACTTCCCTGGCTGGCAGGAACCTGTAAACCGGTTATAACCAAAATTCAAATAATAAAAATAACCGAACGAACTAACCGTTTGGTTAAACCGGTTATATTGTTTGGTTGCATTTTGATTTGATTTCTTAAACAAAAAGTGTTGTGTTGTTTAATATGAACATGATCTGAATTATCAGATTGGCAATGCCACAATTTGATAATTCGTTACATGATTTGAGTATGAATTTAAAGTTTAAAATTCTAAACCTACAAGAAACCTATTTGACTAGAAGATTTTTTAAAAATACGAAATGCAAATGCAGATTAATCAAGTATATACAATTATGCATACTTAAATACTTCTGATGTTGAGTATAAATGCTCTTCCTTGTATTTTATTAACGTTTTTATATTTAAATAACATGAATATTTAAATTTTTGGTCCAATTAATTTTGATGAATGGCATTTTTGGCCTTATCATAATTAAATGAACTAATAAAAAATTGACCAAATTGGTATCAACAACCTTATGCATTTTAATTTGAGGTTAAGATCAAGATATTTAGTCAAACATTTATATTATCAAGTGATTAGTTCTCAGAAATACCCAAAAAAGAAAAAAGAATAATTAAAGCAAGATTTTTCCCTCTTCTTCTTCAAACCAAGCATGATATGAGTGTTATGGTTCGAATTTATTAATTATAATCCAAATAAATTAGCTTTATTTATCATTTTCAAATGTGCAAAGTCTAAAAAAATTTATGATTAACTTTATTTAACAACAATAAATTCACAGTTACACAATTCATTTTAACCTTTAAATTTTTTAGAGTAAAATGAAGTTTACCTTCAATTCTAATTCTGTATGTACAAATTAAATATATATTCTCGAAGTTACATTACAACAACAGAATGTAAGCTTAAAAAAATAAATTAATAAAAATAAAAAAACTAAGCATGATCTGCAAAAAAAGCGAAACTCAGCCCCATAATAGTTAATCTCAACTATTTAGCTTTTCGCAACACACCAGAAACCTCATCAGCTGCATCTTCTATAACTGCGTCGCCATCAGCACATTTTCCTCTATGACATGAATATATGCAGCTTACATACATTTTACATCTCAACATGTCTTGCATTTATAGCATGGTGCTTTCATTTTACCATGCAAGCAATTTCTCATAAATGTTAATGAGTTTGGATGAACTTATATTATACCAATTATTTGTCACTTATTTTAAAATTTTAACAATTAATGTAAAACTTCAAATTTCAAAATA